AGTACGCGTCGGGACACTATTTCAACTACAAAGTCACTCAACCGAATCGTATGCAGGGTCAACCGTCCGTTAGACAAAGTCCAACGAGGGGGTCGTATTCGGCCGACGAAAAGGGGGGTCGTATTCGCAAGGTCGGAGGCAGCGTCAATCCTACACCAACGGGGGTCGTAGTGTGACGCTTTACGCTTTGTGAGTGCTAAGAAAAAAATTGCCGTTTCACTGTTGATATCCCCCCCCCTCGACGGCTATTTTGGAGGAAATGTGGGTGGAGTTGGGCTGTGTCAACTGGTTTCAGAATCAAATACTAACCTGCGCTGTCGTCAATGTGTCAACACATAATGCCAATGCCAGGTGACACCCCAAGGTCGGGCATGTAAATCCAAGAAGTAAAAAAATAATAAAATTGAAAAGCAGCTAAGGTGGCTGATAAATTATGTGCCGATTTAGTGAACAGGGGTGCTTCATAGTATTTTTATAGTGGTCATGATTTGTGCAAATCTTTCGCGGTGAGTGTTTTACCGAATTAAATTGTTCGGAAATAAATGTCAGTTTTCGACCTTTAGTTTTGGCAGGACATTTCTCCGTTCCTATTAACAGGAATAAGAAGCCGCTAGAATCTACACTTCTTCGCCAACGCTCGACTCAGAGCTTCGTTCAGAAAGTTGGGTAGAGTCAGGTAGTTTTAGATATGAAGGGAGGTTCAAAGGTCACTCGGATATAGAAGTAAATACGTCTGAAGGCTCCAAAAGAAAGTTGTACTCTCTTGGGATGCTTGCTTAGCTAAAAAAATTATGGCGTGGGGCTCGGCCGAATCTAGTTGGTTGGCTGGTAGGCACGATCGCCTTCGATATAACCTCTTGAAAAAAATGGGTAGTATTATATTTTCAGCCAATCGTTGGTGGATATGCTCTTGACTGACATTCTATCCAGAAGTATAGGTGCAACTGAATGCCTTGTCAATGCAATCAATCAATTTCAGTCGATTTTTGTGCCATTTTTTATCCTCAAACAGATTTATCACAAAGCTATTCGACAAAAAACCGGGGCTGGATGTGAGCCGACCCTGTGTGTGAGCTTCGCACTGCCAGGTTACTCCACGCGGGACTGGATGTCACATATGTACAATTCCTGTATGGTGCCGCTTTGCTCTTTTCGGATTCAAATGAGATTCCACTCCGACCGTCCCTTCTTACGGTACACACTTATTTCGAACTTTGACAGAAAGTAAAGCGTTCTCGCAGTAATAACTGGGATCAAGACTTCCATGAGTGAAACACTGTGAAGGATACGGTATGCTAAGTCAACACGAGATGCTTTCCAGGTTGGACGGCCGGAGATGAGCGACGGAGATAACGGGATAACCCGAGGGAACGGCGACGAGTTGAGGGGCAGTCGAGATGCCCGCGAGGATCAGAGAGGCGGCGTTCCGAGTCGCTGAGGACGTCTGGTATCGCTGCCCTGGGTCACACGTCTGATACTCATCGTCAAGTGCCCTGCATCGCGTACTACCTTTCCAGGGGGTATGCGTGCCTATTGTGGTCCCGTCCATGGTCTCGCCTGAAGTGTTCTTGCCTTCTATTCCATTTGTGTATATATACATCTGTGTGCCTATATTCAATCCAATAAACCTCTCATCATATCTTGGTGTAATATTGGGCTCGACTACTGACGGCAGACTAAGTGAATTCTGCGGCGAGTTGATCTCATACACTAATGGAATTGTTTCCCGTGGCGGCAATGGGGTAAGAGCCATCTGGTCGAGCACTCAAAATGCAAACCACGCCCTTGTGCTGCTCCGGCCAGATGCTGCCTACTCCTGCTGCGTCGTGCTCAACATGCACTGTGCAAAACGGTTTCGGCATTATGGCGTGCTTTTGGCAGAGATATCATTTCAGAGGCAAATACTGTGCGTCACCGAGACACTATGGGAAAGGGTGTGGAAACCTTTGGCAGATAGAAGAGTTAGGAATTTGAACGAGAAAATCGTCTAACCTGAAGGAAATTGGAGGAAGGTGTCCCAGAAGATAGTAAACTCATTAATTGATTCCAAACTTACTTGTTGGGCTGTATTTAGGTTTCAGCGATTTTAGAGAGTTATCGACAAAGTATCGGATCTGCTTGACGTTAGTTATTATGCCGGTCATTAGCCTGTTGGATTGTAAGCATTTTATAGTGACTTAAAATTCATTTGAATCTTGTTACACTCGGGAAATTCCAATAAAATAATTTTTCAACATCCACCATCCTCCTATCCAAACATAATATATGCTGGAGTTTTGAGCAAGGTGCAGCTCTCCCAACATTATTCAAAATTTGTATGTACTAATTTGATCCCAGCAGAAAAAACAGCTTGGTCGAAAAGCGTTCGGCCGATTATTACTTTTGACGCATTATGTCATTAGAGATCCTTGCTTTACTCGATATAACTTCCACCCTTTAGGCTGGTCCTACCTCGAGCATGCTCAAGATTTTGTTGCGGATAAGAAAAGGATCCTGGTTTACGCGAATCGATCTTCATTGCATTCTACAGCATTCTTGCCGACACAGGATGGTGGTATATTCCAATGCTTAATAGCGATTATACGCATCATAAATGTTTCTTGGTAGCATATTGAGACTCACGGTTAGTGAAACAAAGAAAGGTTTAATGAAATACGCCTATATACTACAGTAGTGGCCAGAAATTTATGAACAAACGGTTTTTTCATGATTTCTCTTTTGAAAGTCACTGCAACGTCTCCAAATTTGCAACAATTATTAACTACGTGTTTTATGATCCACACAGAAAATTTCAACCTTCAGCTCAAATTTGGGTTTAGAAAATTTTAGATTTTTCGAAATTAATGAAGGCAGGTGAAAGATCACTTGATCCGTTTATTTGATTTAAATAATGTATAACCCAACAGAACAGTCAAGTAAACAGTCACTAACATTAAGCAAGTCTAGCACATTGCCCAGAACTCTCTAAAGTATTGGATACATAAACTGGATTTGAATGCGGGGTCAACTAATGAACTCACTCTCTAGTGGGGTCTCTCTCTGTAGTCCCGTCTTTTCGTGGCTCTTTCATTGACATACGAATTTGTAGGTCCTCCCCTAGTGGTTCTGTAATGTTTGGCTCAAGAGTCTGGCCTGGCTGGTCTTTTAAAAGCACCCCATGCTGTCGAAACCACTCCTGCATGTGAGAGGCCCGATGCTTTGAGTCGCTGCTCTGCCGACAGGCAAAGTCAGGTCGGGCGGCAGCCACGCCTACGGATACATGACACCTTCCAAAACATGACAGCAAACGTCTGCCTTCATCGCTACCTCAGTCGTGTAGCGTGGTCCCACTTTTTTCCAAGGCAACCTTATCAAGCCTCCGCCAAGTTTCACAATTGGCAGCTGATTCTTTGGATCAAAACGTTCCCTCTCGTGGTGCCGTACATTACTAGTATCCTTGCTGTCATGCATCAGTAATATGTTTTTGTCATTCCAGATGACCTTAGAAACCTGTATCAACCTTCGTTTCAGGCTTAGTCAATCACATTCTACTCCCACCCACTTCACAGCGAGCGCTCTTCTTAGACTTTGAGAACTAAGGAATACGTAGTATAGACTTAGATTCTAGAAGATGTTATGTATCCGTAGACATGGCTGCCACACGACCTGGCTTTGTCTGTCAGCAGAGCAGCGACTCAAAGCATCGGGCCTCTCACATGCAGGAGTGGTTTCGACAGCATGGGGTGCTTTTAAAAGACCAGCCAGGCCAGACTCTTGAGCCAAACATTACAGAACCACTAAGGAGGACCTACAAATTCGTATGTCAATGAAAGAGCCACGAAAAGACGGGACTACAGAGAGAGACCCCACTAGAGAGTGAGTTCATTAGTTGACCCCGCATTCAAATCCAGTTTATGTATCCAATACTTTAGAGAGTTCTGGGCAATGTGCTAGACTTGCTTAATGTTAGTGACTGTTTACTTGACTGTTCTGTTGGGTTATATACATTATTTAAATCAAATAAACGGATCAAGTGATCTTTCACCTGCCTTCATTAATTTCGAAAAATCTAAAATTTTCTAAACCCAAATTTGAGCTGAAGGTTGAAATTTTCTGTGTGGATCATAAAACACGTAGTTAATAATTGTTGCAAATTTGGAGACGTTCCAGTGACTTTCAAAAGAGAAATCATGAAAAAACCGTTTGTTCATAAATTTCTGGCCACTACTGTATATGTATTTCTTCAGAAGACGAGAGCATCCGAGCGGTCAAGAAAAAAGGGAAGAAAAGCCACTTTTTCCTAGGCCGTCGCCACTTGTGGGGTGTCGTCTGCACTCGAAGCTCTTTTCGCCTTCCGAAATAGAGGGGATGTAAAAATATCCATATACGTGATATATACATATGAGGATACGAAAGAATATATATCCTCCTTTTCAAAAAACGAGAAGATCGTCGAGTGCAGACCATACACCACAAGTGACGACGGCCTTCAAAATGTAAATGTTTTCTGCCAATGAAATGATTAGCCTGTTGCAGTTGTATTCTATCAGTTGTCACTAATTACAACTATCATTTACCAGAAAACTATCACTATGAATCACTGTACAGGATTTATTTGGAAGCCGTCGTCACTTGTGTTGTATGATGGGTGCCTGACAGTAGGCCCGTCGCGCGGCAAAAGGCAAAGTCAGCGGACGAGTCGCAGCGCGTACTGTAGTGATTTCGCGTCAAGTTAAATAGAATGTACCATTGTACGTCCTACATCGCACACACGCGCTGCGACTCGTCCGCTGACTCGCCTTTTTCCGCGGAGGGCCTCCTGTCGGGTACCCGTTGTATGATCTGCACCAAGCGCTTTTCTCTTTTTTTGAAAAGGAGGGTATACGTATGGGGAAGAAAAATTTTTACCTCATTGAAAACTGATGTCAGCACATTTTCTGTTTCATGAATAACCTCGTGGAACCACACTATGGGATGACAATACATCTCCTTATTCCTTTCGTAATGCGACAGAGGTGAAGCTAGTATGATGGCTGATTGGCCCTGAAAATTTTCTAGCTGGTTACCAATTCTTAAGTACTGGGTGGTTCAAAAACCACATCAGGGATTGTTATGTAGAACTTCAGAAAACCCAAAATATACTTGATCTTTTTTTTTACTTCGTGCTTCCCTTTTTAGAGGCACAACTCATTGCTTGATTGTGGAATATATCGCAGCGCGAAATGGACGGCAAGTTAAAAGAAAAACTTGAAAAACCGTCGAAAACACCGAAATGTAGGCTTCTTTGTTCTACGCCGAGGAGGAGGGGTGACAGTCAAGAGGCCTCGCTAAAACTAGGTCACCGCGCGCGACGTCGCCGGTGTAGGTCACGCGACGCGACGCGCCCGTGTTTTGCAGTGGAACGTGGCAAGCACTTGGCCAAGTTCGAACCAGAGTCAACCCTGCGTTGCGCAGTTCGCAACGGCACGTTGAGAGATCCTCAACGCACGCTGTATGGGCGGAGACACAGACGGCTCGAGCATGCGAGTGTGAATGTTCGCGCGAGAGAACGTGTCTAATCGGGCGAAACTGCGCAACGTGGCCGTTGAGAACTGCGCAACGCAGGGTTGACTCTGCGAACCCCTTTCTAAACAAAGCTTTTTTGTTCCGTCGTAGTCCCCCTTTCTGTATTTGTTTTAGCCTACCATTAGCAAATTACCACGTTCCAACCGCAAAAACCGTAGCGCGCCCGCTGCGGTGACTGCGCGGCGACTCAAGAACACTCTGTCTCGCACCGAGAGAGTTATAAAGGTAGCAAGTAAGAGCAGAGGCGCTAGAGGAGAGAGAGCGACAAGTTGAGACTAATGAGCATTGCCGAAGAAAGGCATTAGACAGGTGAATGATAGCCAGCCTTGGCGATTGACCAATTTGCTTCAATAATTCGTTTTAACCTTTCTGAGCGAGTACGGACACCTTGTCGCTTCTGAATACGCCTCCTGCCTTTTCCACTGTTGTTCGCGCATATTTCCACTCATCCACTCACGAAGTGTGCTTTCAAAGACACACCAAGGCAGAAGTCGTATAATGTATGCTATACGGAAGATTATTACGAACGATTCCTTCGAAGGTATGCCCCAGGGTCAAAAAGGTGTCATCCTTCCACACGAATATGAAAGCACTGATGCGAAATGGGCCGGAAGTTAAGAAAGAAGGAAGAAAATTTGTAGAAATACTTAATTTGGAGCAATCGTTCACAGAAAATCCATGCATTCTTCCCCAACGTGAATACGTCAGTTGTGACCACTAGAGACACGCACAAAGTTTCACAAGAGAAGATTCAGTTTCTAAGCACAAACACTTACGAAAACCACACTGTGAGGACGCGTCGCGGGTGGCACAAGGAACGTTAGAAACAGGCCGCCCTTGGACAGCACGTACGTCAGGTCATTGAAAAAAATGAGTTGCAAGCAGTTCGACTTCAAGAATAGCACACAAATTGATCGAAAATGGATCAATAAGAAAAGAGAAATTTGCTGCCCATAAGTGGTGAAGAATTCTTAGAATGGCTCTCCGAGATCAAAAGGAATATTCCCCGCCAACCATTGGGAACAGAATGTACGGCGGAAATTAGACCGGCAACACTCCTTCCGATTTTTGGAACTTGACAAACAGCGCAATTTTTGAGTTCTTTTCGTTCTATCGGAATAATGGATCTGAAACCAGTGATTCAACTGAATACATCACGTTTTCCTCTGGCAATTACTCAGTCTATCGGGTAATCCGCCTTGAATTTTGAAGATACTTGAAAAGAATTTACCGATTCTTGGAATACGCGTAAACAGGTGTGGCATGAAAGTATAAAAACCTTTCTTAAAGAGTGAAATTGCTTCTAAAAGTTCATAGATATGTAAGATTCACGAAAGGAGTATCTAGTAAGTAATCAAAAACCTACCTCATTCCTGGGTCGTCGCAGAATCCTCACCCATCCTCACCTGTATTAAGGCAACGTGACACGAACGGCGAGTAGTTATAGAGTCCCAAGAGCAACAAATACAAAAATTCGGCACTGCAAGATACGATATCAAATGCAATATAGGAAGTCTGGAACGAAACTAAACAGTGTAGAGAGAGGAGCGGACTCGGCGACAGCGGGTCTACAGTAGACGCACGCCGTATCCAATATCAAGATAATTCACGGACAAAAATTCCTCCTGAGTCGATGGATTGATACCAAACTAGCTTGGTAGGAAAAAACGCAGAGGAGGAACACCAGGCTTACACAAACCATTGTGTGGGCCACGTTGAGTTAAAATGCCACTAGGATTTTATGAAAGTTTTTGTCCCTTCGTGTCTCAAAGACAGATTCTGGATAAAATGGAGCTTGGGGTCTATTCCAGTTAGGGGGGGGCATCATGATGCAGTTTTTCCAGAAAGCTAGGGTAACTCCGAGCCAGGGGGAGTGTAGCCAGTCTAGGGGGTGGGGGGTGAGGGCAGTCACTTGACATGCGTGAAAAGCTGGAATGTTCGAGTTCACACTAGTTCGCTAGGGCTAGGGTCTTACCTGTGTTCCTATCGGCCACTAACCATAAGTGACACCCCGGTTTCTTTGCCCTCTCGTACTACGCGATCTTTCGCGTAGTCTCGTTTCTCTGCACACAGTGTCTCTCCCTCACACCACGGTCGATTTTGCAGAGAGTTTAAGCCTGCCATTTTAGTGCTTCTGATGAATTTTTTGCTTTCATACGCTTACGGTCCACTCTGTCCTTCCACACTTACAACTGAGCGCTCTTACACACCGCCTTTCTCCTGGGACATAACTGAAGCCTCATAGGAAGTTAGCATAGAGACCCGTGGGATCCCAGTGATCCGGAAGGGCCTAGTAATATCCGTGACGTAAACCTTCAAGACACCCAAAAAGGCCGGAACCTAAAACTATCTCTGTGAGCAAAAAATGCTGTTAGATTTCGGAATATGCGCAAATATGGACCAGTTATGCCACCCAATCTCCGTATGATTCTCTGATGTATGGCAAACTCCAGAGTACCGTAACGAAAAGAACGAAGTGTGATCACGAAAAAGCTTCGCATTGGTTGAGGCAAAATCATTTATCGATTCGAAATACTACTCAAACGTAGCAGAGAGAACTCACCGTCTGCAAGCTTTTTCCACGGAGAGTAGCGCCTTCTTACGGAACATGAAAATGTGTTTGAGATTCGGAATATCCTTGCACAACGGCACCAATCTTGCCTCGAACGATTGAGTCTTCAAAATGCATAGTGTCTCGACTGGGAGGTGTGCTCGAAGGCACGTTACCGTGGCATGCAGTAGAGTTCGAACGTCCTAAACACGTAAATCAACGATGCTCAACTGTCAATCCGTCACCAGTCTTTAGAAAAAACCCCCAGCCCATGAGCACCACCCCAACCAACAATACTCCCACTTACTATTAGGTTGAGCATGAGTAATGTCCACTTTCGTCAAGAATACATGCCTCACTAAATTCAGCACTTGCTGGCGATCTGCCTAGGAAAGCCGATTCCTCTAGGATTACAAAAAACACCAGTTAAGCAACGCGCACACGTGTGACGGAAGTGAGCAGTACTAAGACAAGATTTCAGATTTGATGCCGAAACCGCCTAGATACCGAGGAAAAGATGAGTGGAGGTGTGCATTGATAAGCTAGAACAAATTATGGAGACCTAGTTTCCGAAAGACCTACCGAAGGTCGGAGCGTCCTCTAAAAAGGCGGTGCCTAGGAAAAAAGTTCTTAATTCGGTGGTCTACAGAAGAAAGAAAGGGGTGGAGCGAAGCAATGTCCAAGGGTTTCCAACATACATGATGTGAGCGGAGGCCCGCCCACAATGGGCGGAGCGTGTCCTGAAGTGGACAGCGTTTTCTACAAGTCCTCATAAATCGGCTCCGAGATGACTTAGAAGCGGAAAAGGTGGATAGAGGTCAGAGGAGGAGGAAGGCTAGACGCCAATGGTGGGCGTGGCGCACATCAAAGTGGGCGGAGTTTGCTACTAAACTTATAACTCGATTCCAAGAAGTCTCAAAGTGGAAAAAAGTGGATAGAGGTCGGTAAAGAAAAGAAAGCCAACTGCCATTGATGGGCGAGGGCATGTATCAAAGTGGGCGGAGTTTGCCACGAACTTATAAATTGGTTTAGAGACAGAAAAAATGGTATAGACTGGTGAAAGAGAGGTCAGCTGCCATTGAAGGGCGGGGAGCGCATCAGTATGGGCGGAGTCTGCCACAAACCTTATAAATCAGTTAGGAGGCTGTCCAGAGACCGGCAAAAAGCGGGCAATGATTGACGAAGGAAGCAGTCTCCGCCCATAGAGCAGTAGTGGTGTCAGTGGAGATGTATAACCGGTGAAGCAAACCATCAGCTGAGGCATTTCGCAATCACCTTACTACTGGATACGTTGACCTTATGGCCTTATTCCTACAGTTTGCCCAGTTCCACTACTCAATGCCCATGGTAGCGTACGAAGACACACTGATATGCTTGGATTGGGTAATGTTGGCTATCTCTGAATCAGTAAGAGTGTTTGCATTCGTTTTTGACAAGACCTAGTTTTCTACAGGACCCCAGGACAAAACACGGATACTTGCATTTGGGAACGTGTGGGAGAAGGGATGTCCCCGAAGAGGGGGGAGGTGGAACGTGTCGCATATTTTATGTATTATGACAACTTGTAAGACTAGTAGGTGATTGAATTTAAATAACAGAATAGAAGGAAAACTCACAGATTCGCTCATAAGCTCTTCGCCCAATGCTATGGAAAGTACTGTTAGCGCTGGATGTTCAGCATAACAAGCGGATACACCGGGCCTGCAAGAACCTAAATTAGTTCTTACGATATTAGTTGCACTGCCCGTGAGCGCAACAAAGTTATGGAGCTGCTTACACTCCGAACATTTATAATAGAAAGCACAGCGTTGATCAATCTTAGGAGGAGAGGGCACGAAGAGCTAAAGGCTTTAGCCTAAAGCCCATGCAGTAGGGGTTCATTAAGAGTCTAGCAGCATTGACATTGGCATTTGTCTTCAATTTGTGATGGTTCCTCGAGCTGATTCAGCAAAGGGCGTTTTATTTGTTGGAATAAAAGACAAAGAATAACGCCATCAGCGTTGTTCACTCCATTTTGGAATGCGCCACGCATTCCGCACCCATTCGTAATCCCATTGCTACTTGAATGCGAATTCGGGTGGTATGGACATTACCCTTGTGGGGAGGGATAGAAACACCTAACAAAAAAAGCGGCCGGGCCAGAGCTCCTGCAAAGCGGTGCGATACAGAAAGGTCTTTTCAGAAGGTCGTACTGACCCCAAACTTACCCAACGCAGTGGTTAACCCTACACAGCAGAAAAAGAAGGCTTAGTTGAGTTAGACGGGTCGAACCCCCGTCCTCCTGAGCCATAAGCTATGCATGTATGTGGAAGCTCGCCTATTGCAACTGTTACACCTCCTCCTTTTCAACTGTACCTACTGCATGTAGGAAAACTATCACTCGACCACTAAAAAACAACCTCATACTTTTGAGACGAAACCAGCCCAAAAGGCCACGAAGTATTTCACTGGGTAACCACTGGAACTGCTTTTTAACCAAACATAAAAAACAGCACAGAGTGGAGTAACCTGTTTAACATCTTTGCCGAATAGTGTGCTGCCACATCGAGCGGTGTTCGTGAAAAGCACGGTTCTCGGCTGTGGATTTGCGGCAAATTCTCAGCAAATTTCAAGAACTCCGAACGTGAGACTTTCTGCCACAGCGAGCGCCTGGACACACGATGGCATTTAGTAGAGCGTCTGTGAACTATTGGATTGTTATTATACATAATGCTGTCGTGTTTTTCTTTCTGGCGTAAAAAGCGGGGAAGTCTACGTGAGTAGAAAGTAATTGTTTCTCAGCTCAGAATATCTGTGGCTGTAAATTTCCTAAAAAATTTAAAAAGGCACAACCCAGGCAGAGTCGTGTGAACGCTTCTCTTTGGTCTATAGTATAGACCCTACAGAGACAATCACAAATGTGGCGTTCTCGTGCACGGAAACCGACCGATAAGAGCGCTTGGGCCTTGCAAAGTAAGCTGCCCAAGCTGCAGACTTTTTTCTCTTATCAGGCTGTTGTCTGGCGATCTCTCATCTGTAGCGCTCTCTCGCCCCATACTCTCCTCTCCGCGCTTAGTCTCTCGCATTCCCTTAGCACGCCGATTAGGAAGGTGAGTGAGCCTATATAGGGGGGGTTGGGACGTTGACGACATCGCGCGTTTTGGGTTTTTGCACGCGTTGGACGAGGGCGCTTTTGCGAGCGCGGCCGTCACACCTCACACCCGTAAATTTCGAACGATAACTTGGGAAGCTTCAAAGGTACGAAACCATTTCAGCAATATTCAATGCGTAGAAAGTAATCGAAGATATAGTAGCGAAATTCCGATCAAAAAACGTGAAATGGTAAAGAAAATTGGAATTTAAGTCCTTTTCTCTGTAGTGGATGCCAAAACTATTTTCGATGTGGATGTGTTTACTTTCACTACCTTTTTCACTGACATGTTCATCAGAATAGGAAGAAAACGAGGGATGAACCGAGCTGCCAATTCCGCTGTGCTTGAAAAACTTCTGCTAAACTGGAGCATATTTGATCACACCGTGACCCATGTCGTTTACAGTTATGTTATGCTGTATCCATGGAATATAGGCAAGCAAATTTGGAAGAATCTCCGCGCATACGCTAAGAAAGGAATGACAAGGATGAGACGCGCAACCGCGTCTCAATGTCGTCAATGTGTTGGATTAAGCGTTTTTGACGGATTCGTTTTCCTTTTTTCTTTACTGCCGGCCCACCTTCCACCAATACATTCGCATTCGTGTACCAAATAATAACACTAATGTGATCCTGGGGCATGCCTTTAATTGTTCCCTTCCACCGGTAGCAACATTTGCAACTTATGGTTGGCAAGACAGCCGGGTTTTGCAAGCTCACTCATTCAGCCGCAAACGCACGTAGCGATGAAGTCAAAAAGGAGAAGCAAGAAGTCCGCGAAAAAAAAGAATTGATACGTTTAGATTCATCGACCTTTCCCCCAAAACGCTCAGTAGGCGACAACCAATAATCGATACTTCAGTGAACTTTTTTCGCGGATTCTCCGGTTCTCTGTTTTCTTTATTCGCGAATGAGGTCCTTGCAACAAATTCTTCAGACGGAAACTGACCTTTTCAAATAACGGCACGAAAATGAATGGATGATTTTCGATAGTGTAGGTGGTGATCGGTTCTGGTAACAGAACAAAAACTACCAGGTCCTGAAAAACATCCTTTCAGTAATCCACCTGATTAGGAAGTTTTCAGTTACCTTTTCTATCGTGTATATAGTCCAGTGAGGATTATTCAGCAACTCTACACTGTCCAGGTATCCAGGCGCAAGAACAAAATCCTTTCTCTTAGCGATTTCCTCTGGATCCACCTTATAACGCCACACAATTGAACTGATTCGTATTTTACCGCTCGGGATTTTATTGGTGCCGGTACACAGATAGACAATCTGAAATAGCAACTTTTCTTGAGACAGTTTTACAAATCTCGTACACATATAGGGTGGAGGGACCAATGAGGATTACCGTATTTCCGATTTCCTGACGAGATTTCCTTCTAGCCCTAAAAGCAAACCAGCTAACATTCAGGTGAGCCAATCCCTTCTGTGGATAGGTTGAACTATAATCAAAATAGGAATATATGCCCTTCCTGCGCCTCAAAAGCACGTGACAAGAGTGCTAAGGCGTTTCTGCTCGGACTCTTAGACAATCCCACTTCTGCTTGCGAGGCAATGACATACGCGGCAAGGTGTCCGCGCCCTTTCGTCGAATATACTCTCTCGTCTACTCCCTCCAGTCGGCTCCCAGTGTTTCTTGGCCGTAGCGCAGTTCGCCTCACAAAAAAGAAGTAGGCTCATAGTTTTGGCGTTTCCAGCTATTTCTTTCCCTTTTTTGTAGGCTAGTGTCCGAGCACTGGGGCCATCTCATGACCGTGAAATGGGTCGTTAAAGGCGCATTCCGCGGAAGAATAGGTGGTCGTTGCGCTCAAACATGAACGAAGTTGTGGTATTTAGGCTAATAAAATATAATGAAAGAGAGCAAGAAAAACTGCTGTGAGACCTTCAAATTCACTTCGCAGCTGATCGTGATTGGGTGTGTTTGCACTGCACTAGCAAAATCGTTTATACTCTTTCTATAAGATGGGATAAAGAGCGGGTACAATCTAATGAGAACGTATGGTAAAGTACTACAGTAAGGCACAGGTGCTATCCAATGGAAATCTCGCAGAGGGCCAAAACCTTGCTCATATCGGCCTCAGCTCATGCGACAAATGATTTTAAAGGCGTATTCGACGATAGGTTATCGCATAAGTGAATGAAAGTGGATTGAAAGTGAAGAGCTGGTCAATATGCAGCGATGAAAAAAAAACAAGGAAAACGATCTAAAACCTGTTAAATTGGGCCCTAGTCTCCCCGCTGATCTCCGCATCGGTGGGAATTTCATCGGTGCTGATGTCATAAACATGGACGCTCCGCCCTACGTGTCTGCTAGGCCGATTTCAGACTTTCTGAATCGAGCGTCGCTTCGCTAGCGTCTGCGGTCGCGTCGCGGCCAGTGAATCACTCAATTGGCTGGTACCGCAACGCGACCGCGGACGCTAGCGAATCGCGCGATTCGCAAAGTCTGACATCGGTCATGCAGGCGCATTCGTTGGACGCGCTGCGAACTGCTGAGACGCTAGCGCATCCCTCGAATCGCAAATTCTGACATCGGCCTTGAGTGGTTAGTGTCCGCGGCTTGAGTTTTGTTTTCTCATCTTGCTACTGCTGTATCAAACACCACGACTGCCTCCATTTTCGGGCGCAACAACCTGAATGCATATCATCGTGGATAGTATCCTTGAAGGAGGAATTCACGACAAGAACGAAGTCAAAGAAGGGGAAAATGGCATAGTTGGCAGACAGGCGCACTTTCTGAGGGTGCTGACCGACGCGCAGTTGGCAGCGAACGATTTCACCTCGGCGATCTAGCATAGCTCCCTCTTGGCGCGATTAGCGGGGCATGCCCACTCACTCTTCGATCTATCGTGGCGAGTGATTAGATAGCTGAGAGAGCGTAGTGTTGAAGAGGGCACAGCGATGAGAGTCGCATCAATGCTCAAATCAACGGGCAAGGAAGGGGTCCATTTCTCGGGTTCTGGGCCCGTTTCAATGAGGTCTTCATCCTTCTCCACTGTACCACCTCATATCTTATTCCATGGAGACTAACTTATTCATAGTGAACCCTCCCTTTAGGTGGCGTCGACTGAGAAGCATTTTAAAAATACTCACCCAAACTTTGCCGAAGTATCCTTATTTCTCACAGTCAGCAGTGTTTTCAGACATGAAACAATTTCTAGGTTCGTCTCTGCCTTTCATTCAGAACCATTCTCAGCAAATACAATCGCGTTTTTTCGGGAATCTGACGAAAAAGTATAAATTCGGGCAGCTGCAAAAACTATGAATTGCAGCGGAGGTTCTGTCTGAACTCCACCAAGTTCAGCCGTTCGGTGTGAAATTTCCAACAAATGGATTTAACCTACTTTTCGGAAGGGAGAAAGCTCATATCTGCTAACAGGAGCACTCTTTAAAAAAAGATGAAAACAGAAAAAAAGAAATAAGGAGAAATTACGAGATTTTAACGAAATTAAAGAAAAAACATCCTGAAGCATTTGGATAGATTTTTAGTGTACCTCGATTTTTAACCTCTACTTCTGGATGAGCAGTGATGGATGTACAGAAAATCCTTCTATTTTATAAAGCGCTAACTTTGTGTGTCGGTTTGTGTATGTGTATGTGTGTGTGTGCGTGTGTGTGTGTGTGTATGTGTGTCCGTCCGCAAAATGAAGTGAGTGAGAAGGAAGCTCATGGGATAAACAAACCGCTAACAAATCGGGTAGCTTACAGGATTTGAGATATCAATGTTTTGTAGCAGGATAGTTGTGATAACACTCTTAGGGCTATATAAACACCTGCTTAGCACACTTCCGTTCATTCCACATGGTGCTGCAGTGGCAGCTGGAGGGCAGTGGAGAGAGGAAGGGAAGCGGAAAAAAAATCTACCGTCATATCATGATTGTGTCCCTTCTACTGTTTGAAACACCATTGTGTTGCATACGCGTCACTTCCACGAGGTGTTGGTGTCACAGGAGGAAGGGACCATAGCGGAGGATAGAAAGCTTGCGCAGGAAAGGAAGGTCCCGGCGGTTGACGGGGGACTAATCTGGTATAGAAAATATTAGCAATTATAACCACAGCAGTAGCAAGAACAATGTAAACAATATGATAACTATGATGATAGTAATTGTTAAAATGTTAATTTAAAGGCAAATGATAAAAGGATCAAGACCTAAAGTTAATCAATTTCTCCTGGTATGCGCCACGCATTCCACTTCCACTCAAAATCGTAGTGTCATCTCAAGGATTCATACAACGATCACTGGGGCCAGGCGATTACGGAGTAGGTGTTACCCTCCCTAACTAACTCGCGAGGGATGAGTGGCTTGGTTGGCCTAGGCCCAACTCAGTACGGGATTTGACCACGGGGGACCGTGCACGTGTTAAGTGGCGCCGTTTTCCAATTCACCACCACAGCCCATAACACAGATGAACAAAAAATTCGAATAAAAAAGCATTTCTGAAGAAGCCTCACCTCAATTAAACTTTTGATACATCGTCTGAAGTACAAGGTAAATAGCATAAAGTTGGAGACGTAAAACGATCCAACCTTTTTCAGATATTGTTTGCATAATGGCTCTAAATGTTAAGTTGTTAATCAAATCGGAGCATTCAGATGGGAAGTCCATCAAAAGTTTATTTAGATCAGGAAAAACACCAAACAACTTTTGAACAAAAGTAGCGATTTTCTTGAACCGCATGGCTGCTATTGGCTCAGGTCTATGAAGTGTAGAGCTCCACCCACTTTGGGATGAACCCGCCCACCAACTAATCCGGCAGTGCGAAGAAAAGTGGTCGTTTTTTAGAGTTGATAGTGGATCTTTAGGGCCTGCTGAGTATCTTCAGGGCCTACTTTTGTATTTAATGGTAAGCAAAATTGCATCGCGGCAGGCATTCCACACGAAAAGTTCGATTGTTTTCCAGCTCGACTTCAATTTTAGAAGGGGAACCCCGCTTTTCACTCAGAGCAGTGCAAGGGATCGATTGAGAAGGTTATCAGCACGAAAAACGAACAAAACATGAGGAGTGCCACGATTGATGGATGGAACAAATAAACAGAACCGACGACGGGTCAGGGTTTCAGTGGATGTTTTGATGGGATCAGCACCTTTATTGATCTCCGAAAATTCCTTCTGCGAGCCACCACTTATCAATCGTCGGCTACTACTTTACACCCTGCTGGTAGCCGCATATCATTTCTCGTGGCTACACTGGTTGCGAATCGAATAGAGGCTATTTCAGCGCTATGAAGTATTGATCGCGAGTGAACCATGCACTTTCCAATACTCTGCTTTTCTTTGCCATCACGGAAACTCAAAGTCATTCATAATCGAATTCATTTCTCGCTCGAGTGCACATGGAGGTGCTATACAAGTGGGGTGGGCACACCCAGCTTTTCACGCATGTCAAGTGACTGCCCTCACCCCCCACCCCCTAGATTGGCTACACTCCCCTGGCTCACGAACTTCCCCAATTCTCGTGACAGTATAGTAGCGAGCAGCAGTCCCACTTACATACATTTCTGTTCAAAAAATGCGGCGTGCCCACCCTACTTGTATAGCACCGAATGTAATTGGTGGGGGGGGGGTGGCAGATCACAGATTGTGAATGGTCTGTGGTTGGTTGCTCGGATTTCAGGCCTTCATGGCTAGACTGATGGTTCCACGTCGTTTCAGTTTCTAGAATATGGATTGAGAGCTTGCTCACTCCTCCTCTTAGGCTGTGCTACGAGGCAAATAGCTAATCCGAGTGACCTACGCCGAGGAGGAGAACTTGAAACACCCACCTTGGGGGGCGAAGGGGGGGGTCGGGGGGGGGAAAGGGAAGGGTGGGAGAGTATCGCCGCGAGATCCCAACACTTTCGAACAAGACAAATCTTTTCATTTTCCTATTCACTCAGTTCCCTTTCTTGCACAAGCAAAATAGTTTTCTCGAAGTTGCTTCCCGAAAAAAACGGCATTGCTGTGCCAGGACGAACTATTGCACCATGATGCCCTCCTCCGACTGCACTTTAGCCATTTATCTATTTATGTGCCCAAGGAAGTCACGTAACAGTGACAAAAGTGGGGAGGTAACAAAGATCAGAAGAGGACAATAGAGCAAAGCAATTATACTCTGCTTTCGAAAACCAGATGCGCGTCGAGTGCAGACCACACACCACAAGTGACGACGGCCTCCAAGTAAATCTGGTTAGTAGTGGTTCATAGTGATAGCTGATTTTGGTAAATGATAGTTGTAATTAGTGACAACTGATAGAATACAACTGCAACAGGCTAATCATTTCATTGGCAGAAAACATTTACATTTTGTGGAGGCCGTCGTCACTTGTGGTGTGTGGTCTGCACTCGACGCGCATCTGCCTTTCGGAAGCAGAGTATAATTGCATTGTCCCGATTAGTTTCGAATGAGATTTTTCCAAAGCTGGCTTACCATGAATCTCAAACTGAAAAGGAATGAGTGAGTAACAATTAGGGTTTGCCGCAACCAAACAGTAAAATACGGGAACTATTGGTCATTTGTTTCTTCTAAAATTCAGCTTGCGGATATCACTCCCGCGCCGAACCTGACAGCCAGGGTTGACCTATGAGAATGGATTTTCAGGAGCAGAGGCGGTAGGAGTGAACATTATTGCGTAAAGCTAAAAAAGAAGAGTGTGGTACTGACCAATCTT